GTGTGTGTGTGGGGGGGGTTACCTCCTGAGCCAGTCTGAAGGCACAGCCAAACTCCTCTCCATCACTGTTGCGAGACCACACCTTCACCCCTGTGTTAATGACCTGAGAAACAAAGAAAAAAAACCATGCTGACATACGGCTCGCCATAAAAACAACATAATGATGCTAAAGTCTACTGGCTTTAACTGCAGTAATTAATGTCGCTGCTGAAAACGGGTAATTTAAATCAAAATAAAAGGACTAATTATGTTTCTTGTTTTATTATTGGAGAGGTTGTTTGTAATTACTAATGTTTAAACTGCCTTGCTCAAGGCACCTACTGTACAAGATATTACAAGACTGTGGATAAACACAGTGCAGCCGGTCTCTGGTGTCCCACCAGGAGTGGGAGGCATCTGTCAGTGATCCGCGCAGTGAAATTCAACTACGCTTCTGAAATAAATATGCATGTTGAATTCTTTACCAACCTGAGGGAAGTGAAGCCAGCTAAATGAACTTTGCATAATTATTCCATTTGAGAATATTAAGGCAGGAGATATTAGATATTAAATACTCTTAATATTAAACATTCTGAAAAAGCCCAATTCCAGAGATATTCTCCGTGAAACTGGAGATATTATAAAAAAGGATAAGGGAAGTCAGCACAGGCCTTGGTTTTCAACACAATCACTGGGCTTTGGCCCAATAGAAAGGGACAAAAAAAGTGAGAAACATCAAACACAATGAAGTGCGCACACACATACACAGCCACCTGTGCAGGTGCTACAGGGTGGAGGACCAGAGGGATTTGGGATGGGAGAGGGACCCATCTGTTAGGCTGCTTGCCTCTGACGGGCTGGGAGGTGTACACACAAACACACACACACACACACACACACACACTCTACACTATAAAAATAAAACTGATGTACCAGTGTAGCCTATATGTCTGTATCCAAAACCTGTGCACTGCAATAATAAACATAATGGAGTTTGTTTGATTGCACTGTGTAGTATCATCAGTGCATCGTCTCTGTGAATATTGATGTGTTGCATCCGATTGCCAGATCTGAAGGTGTAATAACACACGCACCTTCATGCGCTCGCTGTTATTGAGCAGCACGTTGCGGAGCTCTTTGGACACCATGTACAGGTGTCTCTTCTTGCCCTCGTGGGTCCTGGTCAGAACATTGAGCTTGGGGAAGTCGGGCGACAGATCATAGAAAGATCTATAGAGAGCAGAAAGAGAAAATAGGTTTTGCTACACCAAAATGCTGAGAATAATAACTTCGATGTCTAATAAACATAGTAGAGGGACTCACTGTATGGTGGTGAAGACAGGGTCGTCTTCGGTAAGGAACACAAAGGGGTCTTCTTTATAACCAAACAGCTTCATCTTCTTAGCAGCTGGAGGCCTGCGAAACAGAGAGAGGAGACGGAAATTTAGTGTACGACTCGATTATTTAAATTCACTTCATTCATTCATTTTATGACAACCTGACAGTTTCCCATTGTTTATTAGCTCACCAGACCAACATGACTCACCCGCACACTTGTTTAGCAGCGGTCTCCTGGGCCAAGGAAGCTCCTTTGGGCACCTCCTCTTCTGCCTCCCCATCTACTTTTCCCTCTGGGCCTCCCACCTCCCCCTCCTCCACAGCTTGCTTTGGGAGGCAGGGAGTTTCTGAGGGGGTCGGGGCCGCCGGAGAGCCTCCTGACTGGGCCGCTGAGAGGGACGAGACCTCCTTCCTCAGCTGGAGACGACAGAGATGAACAGACAAAGAAAGAAAGAAAGTCCCAGCTGTGGTTAGTAAGACAGAACAGGTGAGTTATGCAGTGGGGGAGGGGTTTCAGGGCGGGTGGGCTACATGCTGGTTTAACAGACATACCCCATACCCACATGAGGGAGTTCTGCTCCATTTCTCTCTTCAAGTAAGACTGACAGTCTAATCATCCATTAAGTGTGTGTTTGTGAGGAAGTACCTTGGGATATCTTTTGTTCCAAGGCATCGGGGCTTTCTTCACCAGCACGGCCACAAAGAAACCTCCAGTGTTCTGGTGATGTGGCAGAATCCTCATACTGACATTACACACACATACACACAC